TAGCCAAAGCCGCTTGGTAATAAAGTTTTTAACACTATTTCTCTTAGTGTAATTTCTGCTGCATTTAAGGTTTATTCTGTTATTTTTACACATTTCAACACTCTCAACAGACCAGGATATATTGTAGTCGTATAGTTCTCGTCGCAGCATTTAATCTTGTTATTTTAATTTTTTCGTTTTCTTTTTATTTTGGAACCCATGCAGTCTGAATCGCAGTCGCAGTTGTAGTTGGAGTTATAGTCAGAGTCAGAGTCAGAGTCGCAGCTATCTACATAATTAATGCATGTCTGAGGCCACACGAAACATGCAAACGCTGACATATTGACCCAATATCTAGGCAAAGGGCTTGACATTTGTGGAAACCAAAAAAAAAAAAATAAAAATAAGCACAAAAAACAAAACGATATCACAGTTAAAACGAGAAACATCGCGTGCCAAAAAGCCACAGCCAAAGACGTTTATACAAAATTTATGCCTCTGCAGCTCGGGCAAATAATTAAAACAAACCAAAAGCAGCCAGAAAAAAAAGAGGGAAAAAATCAAGAAAAAAAACCCAAATAATTATGAACAGATATGGCCACAAGAAGGCAGAGATAGTTTATGCATTGGGTGAGAGCAACAGAGCTTTGGAAATGACACAAGACAGGGAAATATCTTTGCGTGATTAATGATGGGTCGTGCGGACCTGAACAGATATATATTTGTTTTAAATTTGTTATTAATTTATGTGAGCGCCAGAAGAAAAAAAAACGTTGCTTAGTATACGATTACAAACACAGCAGAGCTTTCAAATTGGTGGGTTAGGTAATCGTGGCAGGCGAAAAAGAGTTGGTTGTGTCTAAAAATATGATTAAAGCATAAATGTGTCCACAAATAAAGTGTACATGGAGGCGAGATGGGTGTCGGTAAGTAATACTAATCAAATATAATGATTTGTGTTGCTTTGATTGATATAGAACTATATAACTAGCAATGGAGGTTACAAAACTTCAGAATGAAAATGCAATTATAAAGCATTTGATATCTCATAAAAATACATATATGGGCGGGTTAATATAACAGTGAAGGCAGGAGTGTATAAAGTACCATGGTGATTACTAGCTTGCCAGGGTTACGAAATAGGATTTCGAAAGCGCTGGATAACATGATGTGACCATGGAGGTAATGTGAATACGCTCTTATAAATGCCGGATAATAAGAATGAAAGCTGAATGAGAAACTTAAAGACTCGGACATAAAAAATGTGTTATGCCAAAAGCGTAGAGTAAAGAAATTAGTTGGAAATGATATCTTTGTTTCAACCTACTCAACAAAGGCTTAAAGAACTACCGCTAAATATTTATAGCCGAATACTTAAGTTGCCTAGCTGAGACACTCAAATATCATAGTTATGGTTTTGATCATTGTAAACCACCCGGTCTAGCGAAATGCATAACTTATTTCCAGTAAACCAAAGAATATGTAATCATTATAAAAACTGTAGAAGCCCACACACTAAAAATCAGCCTGGCATATTATCATAAATTATCTAATATAAAACGTCATCAATTATATGCAGGAATTTATTGTGGCAGCTCTCAAAGCACAATTGATAATTGCTGTCGTCTGGGACTGGGTCTGGATCTCTGCTTTTTCCCACTCGCTTGAAGACCAATTAAAACGGTTCCATTTTCCGGCGCGCTGTATTCTAACATTTTTGTGTATTTTTACGATTTTGATTACGATTTCGGCGCCTAAGCCAACGACTTGGAAGCACAATAAAAACACGACATCGAAGAGAAAAAGCCAACTGAGCTAAAAACTCAATTTCAATTTGAAATCAATTTTTCAACAGAGTTGTTTTCGGGTCGTGCTTGTGACACCTCAATAAAAAACCAAAAAGTCTTTGACCAAGACCCACTGAGCAGGAGGCGCCACTCACCGAACGGTGTCCAATAGGCTGGACAAGATGCGCATGCATAAGTTAAGAGCTGTTTTGGGGGTAGACACAAAAATCGACCCCCCGTTGGGGTATAAAAATTAAAATTGTATTTGTTTAGCAAACGGCGTGACAACAGCAGCAACAACAACAGCAGCAACAACAACAATAAAAGCCACAACAACTGCGACAGGTATCGAACTGCTTGCCGTGGGGGTCAAGTGTTTTTGGAGTCCCCCAGCGATATTTGCCCATTGGCGCATTAATCAAAATTGTAATACAAGCCCAATAACAAACAATCTAACACTTTCGAAAACTCGAAACCCAACTGAACTCGTAGAGAATCAACTCCGCTCGACACAAATCCAATTAATAAAATCAACATTGTTGCCGACGTTTCAAATATCACAAGTGGAAATCGGCTGCCCACGCAAATTTATTAAATTATGCTTTATATTTTAAGCATTCGCGAGAGATAAATGTGAAACCAGCTGAAAGTTGTAGGGTACAAACAGATAGTGTTGAGATTCAAACGATTCGATTAAGCAGAAAATATTTAGGCTATCCTTTTTTGGTAATTAATAAAAAAAAAAAAATTAAATGATGCTGGGTTTATGATAAATAAAATAATCAATATATACTTTAAGCAAGGAATTTTTCAAAAATCTATTGGAAAACCTTTTCAAGCGTGTCAAGCTAGAAATATTTGCAGTTTTTTTAATTTTCGTAATTTGTTATTATATGAATAAGTTATATGAGCTGCATCTAAGATTATTCCAATAATTTGAAAGCAGTTAAGAGTTAAGTTAAGAGTTTATTTATGCTACTATTTACACTAATATTTTTCGAAAATGTAAGAATTTATAATTTTAATCTTGCATTTCTAATGTATTGAATACTTAGGTTGATACTCAGTTGTGCGGAAATTAGACTATTTATTTATTATTAATCTATTTATAAAAAACTAAACTTCAAGTAAGAAACTTTAAGCTCATCAGCTAGAAATGAGAATAATATATATATAGGCTTTAAAATATGTTAGCTATATTTAAATAAATTATTAGTAAATTGAATTGATGCTCGAAAAATTTGCTAGTTGCTTTTTTATAGAAAGAGCATTTGAATTTCAGTCAACATGCATTTTAAAAACTCTTGTAGGTGCTACCAAATTTGGTTAAATGTTTATCGCTAATTTTTATATAGTCAAATTATTTAAATCATTAGACGGGCAAATAATTTATTGTCACATGAGTAAATTAATCAAACTGAGCGGAATAGTTGATTAATTTAAGGAAACGCACATGGCAACAAAAAGTACACACACACACACCTAGATACAGCTGAAGCAAATCCAATTGGTTGGGCAAAGTTGAGCGGATCGTGGGTTAATTACCATGTCAAATTCAAACAGAAACAACAGCAGCAGCAGCAGCTACAACAACAGCCGAAAAGGTAGTTTATCATTACAACAACAAAACAACAACAATATAAATAATAGGCTGCCAAAAGGCAGTATTCGACGCATTGAGTAGGTAGGCCCGTCCGGGTCAGGTAGTTTGAGCCTAAGTAAAACCTTTTCTTATCATAATTACGCACAAAACGACGCTCACAATGGCAGCGTCGGCTGTGCGAACGAGAGGCAGATAGACGAGGTAAATTAGAGTGAGCAGGCGATACTCGCACTGGCTGCTAAGCGCCGCCGCGACAAATGCAAATGCCCAATTGCGAGGCGAACGGAAGTCGCAGCGTAGTTCGCCTTGGTTAAAATGAAGGCGTCGCCCGCATCGCAGCTGCGTCTCTGTAGCACGGTGGGCGAGGCTGCCGCCCAGCTCCCTCTTCTGCCCACGCTTGGCTGACGTTTCGCGTACTTAAACAGACGTCCATTTATAATCGACGGGTCAGCCGTGCGGACAGGCCGCACTTACGATTATGTTTGTCCGGGTTCGCACTTCGGGGCAGCGGGACAACGGGTCAGCGGGATGGCGGGTCTTTGGTAGTGCGTTTATTATAATGAAATTATGCATACAAAACATCGCCCATATATCAAAAAAAAAAAAAAAAAAAAAAGAAGAAAAGGCACTGCGCATCGTCGCAAGTGACGCCGCGTATTAAAATAATGACTTAATTTCGTTTATGCATGCGTCCATTCCAAGTACCAGCGCCTACCCCACCCCACAGGGCTCATCTGTCTTGTCTCTGTCATCTATATACACCATATATATACATATATATGCGTATATATATCAGAACTAGTCCCAGACGCACTCGTCTCCCAGTTGCAATCGAGTTGGCGCGTTAATTGCCATTTGGACCGCCGACATGGAGCCGCATTTGCTTATCAGCACGAAAATACTAGCCCCCACCCCCCGCTAAAAGCCCGACCGTCCCCGCCGCTGTACAGGCCATTTAATATAATGCATGACAATTGCGTCCATAGAATGGCGCATAATCAAGCAGCAAATGCGTTATGAATGACAGACGCTTAAGCGGGACAAGTGTGGAGTGTGCGAGCGAGCGGGGGCATAGACTAGTACTCAGTATATGCTTATCCGACATATAGACACACAGTTTGAGCAGCAGATAAGCACACACATACACACACGAGTCCTTAGTTTCTTGAGATCTATTGGGCTAAGCAACACCTTTTCGGGCACGTGTGAGCAGAGCTGAGTCATCGCCCAGGTCGAATATTTATAGATGTTATAAAAATACTCAACTAGTTTCAAATATCATCAAGAATTTGACGCACCTGTCAGCTGGCAATTGGAACTATAAACACAAACATTTATAATGATATATTATAACTCGAATTCTAGAAATTTGCTTTAACTAGGAATGTGTTTGGCAGCTGTGCTTAAAACAAATTCTTCCTTCAAAGATTATAAAAACAATTAAATAAGTTGGCTAGAAGTATCAAAACATATGAAACATAGGTCTGAAATTTTGGTAGCTCTAAGTTTTGAAAAAAATCTGCATTTCACTCGCTTAGTAGAAACATAATATACAGATTAACTCAAAAAAAATGTTAACAGGTATAACATTTTCATATATAGTATATCTATTTAATAGTAAAAACACTTACCGAAAGATAATCCATATGTTCACAGAGAATTTCGAATCCAACTTGATTATGCTTTTAAGTTTTCGCTTCATTTTCATGTTTTATCTGCAATGATTAAAAAAGTGTCCAAGAGAGTTTAACTAATTGCATTGCGTTGAGTTAAAGAACCAGTGAATCATTAAGTTAACTGAACTGACTCCACATTAAGCACAACTGGTTCACGGCTACAAATTAGTTTCTGACACAGTTTGATCTACCGTAATGCAACTTTTTGGCACCCGTTGGCACCTGCCCCCAGGCTGTAAAGAAGAGAGCATAATCAAATGGCTTAAAACAGAATATAGAATCCATGAAGAATAACAAGAACCGGAGAAGAAGATGACCGTCTGTTGTCACTTTTGGTATGCTTGACCCATTTCATGATTATCATGCGCTCATTCATTCATTCCTTCATTCATTCACTCTGTCAGCTCGGTCATTGTCTTCTTCACTCACAATTTTGTTTGTCAGATGAGCTTCGGCACACTCAACTGACAGCTGTCATAATTAATTTTGACGTTTTTTGTGTGGTAATTAAATATGCTCTCTCTCCCTCTCTCCCTGTCTCATCTAACACAGAGGCTCTTAAAGTTAGGGAATGCGGTGCGTCGTCGGGTTTTGAATTTCATGAAATGCCAGCTCTGATTAGCCTTTTCAAGTGCTGCCTGAGTTCGGTTAGGAGGCTCATTACGCACCACATTTCGATAACAACTTAATAAAAAGCTGGCCGAGTGAAGCAGGTGGGTGGAGAGGGGCTTATTAATACCCCACAGTATTAAATGGGGTGGAGGGCATCGGCTACCAAATTGAAATTGCCTACGAACGTCCGTTAACAGCTACTTTGTACACCCTGAACCCATTGAAAATGATTAAAAAGGGTATCATCGTCTTTTGCAACTTTATGTAACAGGCTGAGGGAAGCATTTGCGAATCCATGTAGTATTATGCGCTAGATATGTCCGTTTGTGTAAACGGGCTGAACTTGAAAACTACAAGAGCTGAAGACTTGAAATGCGAAATATACATATATACTCCCATGCCATATCCAGAACGAATTCATCATTTTTTATGAATATCCCACCCAATTCTCGTAGTATCGATAAAAAATCGAATGTAAGATTTATAAGTAGTTCTCTTTAAGAAATCTTCTTTTATAAAGTTGCGCTAAAAATAAAGATTTTCCAAAATTTTCAGGAATTTGCCAAATAAGCAAATTGTTGGAATTTCAGAAAATATTTTCTACAATTTTAAATTTAAGGGCAATTTTTTGTTTATATGAAAAATTATTAAAACAAGCAAATTTTCGGCGAAGAATTTAGGGTATCGTGTAGTCGGACACCGCCGACTACAGCACTATTACTTGTTCTTTTTTGTGTTTGGCTACCGACGAAATGGGTTTTACTTAAAGACTTAACCGCTATGCTCTATAAGGCAGGGGTGGGTTTGGGTTTGGGCGGCACATCCTACTAACCGCAATGCATTGTTTGAAGTCCTACGGAAGGGCGCTCCGGCTGTGCGGTTCATATGCACGCGGCCGGAAACGACCTTGGCACGTTATCGTCGACTTTTCATCACTTTCATATTCATACAATATTCGAAACGTAGCGCTCGGCCCTTGCCGCTGCCCAGGCATGAATGCACAGGCTCAGAGCAGAGGTTGGAGGGCCAGCCAGCGGCAGCTCTGCATATCTATGTAGCCTTCGGTATGTCGTGTCCTGCCCGTGTCCCATGTCCTGGTCAACGTCAACGTCATCATCATCGTCGCCGTCATCGTTGTGGGCCAGTTGGCAGCCACGTTGTTCGAGCCACAAGCTATCTGTGTCAGAAAATCTCAACTACCCAAACATACGTTATGAGTTTTCTTTGTTCAACTGTTCGGCTGGGGGAGGGGGTGCGGCGGTGGCGGGTGCCATTGCGGCTCTGCTCGAGCAGTAGGTACCGAGTGCTTGGGCGCAAACAATTTCACTTAAATCTGCTCAAATTTCATATATTTTTCTCTTCTTGTTTTGACAGTTGCCCTCGGACCTGGCCCAACTGCTGGGAAAGGCGCTGGGCGTATGGCAAAACAATTGACAGTTAAATAACATTCTAAAGTGGATATATTTTTACCTGCTTTTATAAAAAGAAACCACTTAAAATAATAATAAAAATAAATTGCTTGTGCTTCATACATAAAATATATGCATCTCTATATATACAACTTTTTGTCCTGACTGTCTAACTTATTGACTGGCTGATTGGTGATCAACGCACAGTCTATACCTTAAGAGCAGTTACTTTATCTGATGAAGGTGCACGTTAAGACGGGGAAATTCCACCCGCATTTGTGCAAAAATCGCGAAAAACATTTGTATGAAACTTATTTGTTACCATCCGATCGGCCTCAAACTCATTTTAAAATATTTATGTTCAAATTCATTTGAGGGGTATTTCACACTTTTCAAAAAATGCATTCTCCCTTGGTTTAAATGGGGGTCAAAGATTTGGTGGGTGACTTGTTTGTGCTCAAATATATTTCCAAAGATCTATACGAAGAATCATTTGAGCCGTGTTCACGCTTTTCGCAGAATCATGTACTTAGTGGAAAGGTAATATCTAAATATATAATATAGTAATATTTTTAGCACAAAACGTTCTACGGGCAAAGTCGGACAAAACCCGCTAGTTTTCTATAAAGGGCGAGTAAAATGGGTTACTGTAGAGAATATCACTAAAAATTGTCTAACTCGAAAGGCTACAAAAGTAATTGAATAGTTTACTAATTACCAACAAAAACTAATCAAATAGTTGTTAACTGCAGCATTTTTGCACTTTAAAAAATGAACATTTGTCTGAATATTTATATGATCTCTGGAACTGTAAGAGCTAGAGATATCCTATTTGGTATGTAAGCTCCATATTATAAGTGCTTCAAATTAATTGCAAATGTGTCTTCCTATTTTCCAAAGTATTTTCTAATTATTAATATAAACCAAAAATAAATATTTATAATATTTTTAAATCAAAATAGTTTAAATTAATTATAACTATTTTAAACTGGACATTCTTCTACCAACACCAAATACAGTTCGCGTAAGGGGGGACTAATAAAGAAACTGCATGTCAATATTGGAGACTCTATCCAATAAAACAAAAAATTACCTCATAAAGCAGGATATCAATTTTTATAAATTGGTTGCAAACGGGGCAAGTTATAGACTATCGGAAACCTGCACGTACTGCACGGACACTAGGAGGACCTACTTGCATTCAAACGGACGCACGGACGAACAGACAGACGGACATGGCAAGATCGACTCGGCTATTGATGCTACCTAAGAATATATATACTTTATGGGGTCGGCGATGCTTCCTTTTCTCTGTTACATACATTCGCATAAAAACAATATACCCTTTTTAGCCATTTTCAGGGTATACAAATTCCCAACTATAGTAAATCTCAGTAAAAACAATATTAAAACCGTTTATGTCTTTTTTTATATACCAAACATGAAATATTAAAACTAGTTTGTTTGGCCAAGTATCAATTTGAGCCACTTAATTTGGTTTTAATTGATATTTCCTATTTTATGGTAACTGCAATCGTGTCCAAATTATTATTACCTTGCCAGTTGTAATTTCCATTCAATATCATCATCAAAAATTACTGGAAATATTTCAACTTGACCACAATTAAAAGGCCATTGAATGTTGTAACATGAGTTTTCGCATTGGTTTATTGGGGCTTTGGGGGCTAGACTAGAAGTAAAAATGTTTTCGGTAAACCACAAAAATAGTTTTTACTGCTGGTGTCGCTGCAACTGATGTATCTAAACGTGTTGCCCACGTAGGTTTTGGGCCTCTGGGGGGTACCTGTAGCTTATGGTAGTTACTTTTAACTGCCGGCCGTTAGGCAAACAGTTATTGCGCTCAGTACTCGCCCCATTAGAATGACACTGTTTCCCCAAAAAGCAACAACTTGTCATTAGACAAATTCAATTTAATGCTGGGCAACAGCAACAACAGCCAACTGGCGACCACAACATTTTTCGGTGGGGCGCTACCATACAAATTCTATTTAATTTGGCGCACACCCCCGCCGGCCCGGCGCAGCACCACCTACGAGACAAAATGGAACAGACATGGAAAACTCCATCTAATGTGCACATTGGCACGTTCACTTTGTTGACACAACTGTACAATGAGGCGTGGGTTGGGGCAGGAAGGCTACCCCAACAGGCGGGGAGCGGGTCGCGCAGCCTGGCGAAGTTTATTTCGAGTGGAATCGCCGCTTTGTCGTATCTCAAAGGACATTACAATGCAGATAGACCCGGACGAGTGAGTGACTGGAACGACACAGCCAATGGAGTTGAAGCCCTGGCAATAGCAGCAGCACTGAAAGACACACACGGTGCGGCACAGTGGTGCCAGTTCAAGCAGGAACTGCAGCAAAGAAGCGTTTGGCATGCATACAATCTTCTTATTTGATAGAACTCTACTTCGACTACAACGACTTTTTAAATAATATTTAAAGTCAAAAAAATATAAAGATACATTTTAAATTAAAATTTTCTAAATTGTTGTTGAAATATTTTTTAAAATGTTGTTTTATACATATTAATTTTGTTTTTTATGTTGAAGGATACCTTCTTTTTAAAGCACTTTAAATTAATATTTAGAAATTTTTAATGTAAAGTGTATTTTATACATATTTTTTAACTTTAAATATTTCGTTAATCTCTATATTAATATTTTTAAATCAAAACTTCATGCTGTATATTTTTTTCAAATAGTAATATAGTTAAATATACTTAAAATGTAATTTGTAAATATTTTTAAATATTTAAATATTTTATAAGTCTGTAATAAATATATGAAAAATTAAAGGCATAACACTAAACAAGATATTTCAAAATCCACATGAACTATTCATAACTTTCGATATATGACAAAATCTTCACATTATTCGCCAAATTTATTTTAAATGATTGCTTAAAGAATACGTGCTTTGATTTTTTGTCATATTCTGTAGTTCAGTAAGCTGCTCATATTTTCATTAATTTGCAACTAAATTGTGAATCAGTGTG